TGACTAGCAGTTCCATCCAAGTCATCAGATTGATCTTATTTCGGAGTAGTCAGTTGGATTTACCCTCATCTCAGTGTTGAAGCTCATATAGGGGTGTTGGGAAGTTGAGATGAAATGTTATGAGTTTAAGTCTGTAGGAACATTACTGAAATGAATATACTCCACCTGATGAGCCCTGAATAGGACAAAACGCGCCTTCCAGTCTCTGCTATCAGTTGCATATTAGATATAACCTATAAATTTTCAGACAAAATATCTAGCTAGCTTTTAACTTAATGATTGAAATTACCTATCACAATTTTAGTCCTGTCTTACTTACTGACATATTGAGGCCTGTTACTCATAACAGATCATAAGCCACACCATCAACTGATCAAATAAGAAGTACAGTGGTTATGGGTAGGCAAGGCCACACAGAATGGCAGAGCATTTGCAAGCACTATATCATAATGAATCAATTGAAATAAAAAGTAGTTCACTTTCAACAAACACTAAAGAATTATCATATTTTTATGTATTTATTTACCTTGGATTTTATTTTCAATAAGATGAATCTATTTTCGCACATAGTTTCTCTCACAAACTGAAAACAATTGTAGAGCATTTAAAAACCAGGAAGTATTCAATAGCTATCACACATCTTAGTTGGAGACACTTCAGAATATAACACTCATAAGTTTCAGGTGATATGGCAAGTACAATACCATTAGAACATTTAGTTCAAATCTGCACATTCAACGCAGTTATATTAGTTACTTCAATTTAACTTTACAACATCAGTATTTATTGAAAAACAATTTATTAATAATATATTAGTTAGTAAATGAAAAATTACTCTTCTCCAAATTTTTAACAATAATAATAAGAAACTTCTATTCATTTCAATTTGAGACAATTATTTACTAAAAAATTTGAAAACTTTCCTATTGAAAAATTCAATCAATTTTTAAATGTGATTATTATTATTATTATTTTAAGTTTGAAATTCAAATCCAGCTGAATAAATAACAGACATACTTTATCATGTATCAATTACTAAATGATGAAGGGGATTTTTGTCATCATATACAATGATTATAAACAGTATTGAATGAATTCAAAAGATGGCAATAATTATAAAACATTTATCATGTACAAATTGACATTTCAATGTTTTATAGTTAATTATGGCAAATATTTTTAATAGGTATTTAGTTCTTTAAGTTAACAAATGCTTCAGGCTACTTCTCATACATAACCTCAGTTAAGGAGAGTGAGTAGATTACCAGACCATCTTTAGGGAGGTAAAACTGTTTAGATAAAGTTCAAAAACGAAGAAATCACATTTAAAAATGAATGAAAATATTCAGTTGAAAGTATGAAAATTATCAACAGTAATTATAAATATATACGGGAACAAGTTGACTTAAAAGTTTATGAAATTCTGCATTATCTTCCTCGGTTCTGATTATTTTAAACAAAGGGCAAGTTAATTTTACATCTGCAGTTAACATATGTACAAATCTAATCATAATCAATTGATTTCGAATTTTTGTTGGTTTTTACTTCTTCACATCTTGGGAAAATATATCAGCAAATTGATGCAAAGAATTTGATCTCCATTAAGGAGGACTAGACATTGTGTTTCTATTTCAGTGCATTTACGAACCGCTAACATCCCTTTTGACTGTTATATTGTATGATATACTTTCAATTTTTATAAGAAAGCCCCACACCATTCACGATTATGGAAAGGCCTCACTGGACTACCATCATCTGTCATGAAAACTAGATCTATAGCTTCTTGCTGATTTCCTACAATAATATCAAATGAAGTGTTTTATGACGATAAATTTTTAGGGGTTGCATTAAATTCGGTATAGGGTCCACCACTTTAGTGACCCGCGATCTGACTCCAATTTGTACAAACGATTAAGTAGGCCATGAAATACATCTCTTCAGTCTCCGTATATCAAACTTAGGCAAAACCCCGTTTGTGTGACGGCGGTAATGAGAAGCAGAATAAGGATTCGGTTGAGTTTACTTTATGCAATCGTCCACGCAGACATGAAAATACAAAACGTAAAGACAAGGTGAAGTGAAGTGGAGAAGGCGAATGAGCCAACTCAGTGTGATGAGGCATGAATACGTATTTATAGTCAGGCAAATATAGACTAGACATGTAATAAGCGAAGTAAGCATGCACACTCACTTACATAGGAATAATCAAGATATAAGTGTTACGCTCGTCACTAAGTATGCTTGAGGCTATTACGAGTATACCTTAGTCGATAAACGCGAACGAGACTTTTACCAGCGTCCAGGAGGGCTACCTTGAATCCCCAAATAGAGTAAAAGAGCTTTGTAAGCGTAGAAAGTATATTCTACAAACACCCAGCAATCACAGTACAACCAAGCATACAACTCTCGTTTATTTATACAACACAGAAACGTCCTTGAGACAGTTACGAAAATAGCACACTAAAATACACAGCAGCCAATCACAGCCATGGATTTTCCTGGTGGGAAATGAAATCTCAAGGTCAACTGATCAGCCCATGCTGGCAAATGTGAAAACCAAAATAAGGCATTTATCAAGCGAATTTTGGGGATCTAACATCCCCAACAATAAGCAAATAATTAACAAGGTCGAAATCTGAGTGAATAATGGCTCAGGAAGAAAAGGTTAATTAATTTTTTCCAAAAGCTGGAACAAACATCGTGGGCTCGAGATATTTGTACACACACTACAGCTTAGTTTATCGTACGGTTGAGATATAATTTGATTCGTAACATTTGACTAGTATCAAAGAATAAACAACTTGATGCCAGTTACTGTTAAATAATCAATTAATGCATATATTTTTGAACTACTGGATAGATTTTCCTTCTGCTCTGAGTCTCTAAGGCTATTTATTATTAAAGAACTATAATAATCTTGCATATATATCCTTATGTTGCAGAAAATGTTTGTCTTTTCCAATCAGAATAAGTTCAGAACTGATATTTACAGTTTACAATGGATTTTCAAATTATGTTCACATGTCTTAACAATCTTATTCGGATTAAAATCTCTTAACTTCTCTACATTTACTGTAGATTGAATCTACGTTGATGTGTCTATTGACTGTTTAAAAAATTCATTGTTGCTAGACTCTCGGAAATTCTTAAAGAAAACTTTCCATTTTTATGCCCTAATTTGTCTCTGATAGTATTGTTTCGAAAAGTGAAGATGAAAACTCCCTATAAAAACATAATATCATGTCAAGTCGACCCATCCGATTCGTAGATATTCTTGGTCACTGAAATTAGCCACAACAAGCGTGTGTTCTCTCAAATTATAACCTTCTGAATTCCTCATCATCTCTATCTTTCTCTTTCTAAATTTATCTCACTGAATTATTCTTCTCAAATCATATCTTCGGACCCTAATCTCCTCGATTACTGCTAATACTTCTACTATTGCTACCGATATTGGATTTGAAATGACAATTGCGTCTCTGTGCTAAGGCGGTATGGCAGCTTGAACTGATGTACATACGTACGATGTTCTACGCTGTAACTGACTGACTGAGCGTGATTACATTGTTAAATGTAGATAATAAAAAAATTCAACAGGAAAAACTAGACAAAATAGGATCTGAGAATAATAATCTTCTGACCGTTGACTAACATTTGTAATCTCTAGTAATTTTGCTAATGAAAAGATTATTACTGAACACGTGATTAGTTGATCATGTGAGATTAATCCTTCTGGATAAATTATTTTCCGTGAATCTACATAATTTGACTTAGAGAACACTGATTTTATTTAAATTCATCCCTTTTAATGTACTAGTATTTTTACAATCGGGGCTGCAATAGTACTGAACCTGTGTTCATTTTTATCAATTCAACAACTTATAGATATCATAAATCACAACTACTTGTGAGGTGTTTGGGACATGTGCTACGAATGCCCAACCACCGACTGCCTCGACGAGCAACGTTTTGTGGTGTAGAAGTAGGTTGGAAGCAAGTTACGGGTGGCCAAACCAAAACATGGCACAAATCCATGAAATCACTGACAAGTCGACTGAGTCATGTTGGTAGATGTAGACTATCTGGTTGGGGTCCGCGAGACGAAAGTAACCGATGGTTAAAGATCTTGAACGACATGGCTCAAAATCGGTTGCAGTGGCGCAGGTGCATCCACTCTTTGTGCTCTCTAATTCTAATCTTCTGAATTCCTTATCATCTCTATCTTTCTCTTTCTAAATTTATCTCACTGAACTATACTTCTTGAATAATATCTTCGATACCTAATATTCTCCATTACCAGTAATACTTCTACTATCTCCAACACTATGGGATTTGAAGTGAAAGTTGCTTCTCTGTGCTAATGTGGTATGGCAACCTGAACTAACGTACGTACGTTCGAAGTTCTACTTTGTAATTGACTGACTGACCGTGACGAAATCTGCATATCTAATTAGTCCTACATACTAGCTGAGCGTGTAAAATTCCATCGTAATCAGTCGTTTTTCCTCATATGTGTCGTAAGTGAATTCAGAAAAATTATCCCTTAATCCTACTCATTAGTTACAAAAAATGTATCCGGTAAATTTTCTCAACATCGTTGTCAAACGAAGTTACATTGATGTGAATAATTATCTACGACATAACTTAGTGTCAAAAACAAAATAAAACTTCAATATTTATCATTAAGGAAAGTATATAACATACAGAACCTAACTCATCAACAAGAATTGACTATGAAGAAATTAATTTTGAGGATGTCTAACCTGAAAACAATGGTTCGTTTTAAAATGTAAGATTTACATAAATTCATAAAAAGATATCTAGTTGTTGTGTTCAAATTCCATAATGTTAACAGTAGAAAATTTTCAGATGAAAACATTATGGTTATATATTTTGTTTGAATCCGTTATTATCTTTTTCTTCAGATGGAAGCACATCTCTTAGTAGACACATGCTGACTGACTTCAAAAGTTGATGAATCAGCAGAAAATTTAATCTCATCATCTATGCTACTTACATTATTTGTTAGTAGCATACCATGATGACAATAATGTGGTTTAGTATGCTCATTAACAAAAACATTTTCTTCATCATAATCATCCAGCTCATTTATTTGTACTTGTTGTTCCTGGTGAATTCTAGGATAACGTTTGTAGTGAAAATAAGGCGTTGAATTTGTGCCTATCTCATTTTCAAATGTTTGTAAATTTATAAACTCTGATGGAAATTCATTAATTAATGGGTGATGATTAGATTTGAATACATCCATATAATGATGTGTTGAATATAACATTGGATGCATTGATTCATTTGCCGATGATAATGGTGGTTGACTGTTCAACGACTGTCTTGGCAGTGGAATATAGTCGTTCTTAACGATATGCTTATGAGATTTTGAACCTTGAGCAACTAAGGAAGAATGTACTAGAGTGGATACTACCTCACAATTATTATTATTATTACTAGTATTATATCGACCAGGCAAACTGAAATGATCCGGTGAAGTGATATCATAAGTGTATGGTTTTAAAGTAGACAATGGATGATAATTAGGTTGAATTAATTCAATCTCATTAGATGAATTACTCTTATTTTCAGACAGATTATCACTATCAAATACTTCATTCCTTGTCATTTCTCGTTGTCGATTACTCACTATGTATTCTTGATCTGACAATTTTCCATGTGTACATTTACAATCATATTGTTGTGTCATTGACGGGAAATATTTAGAATCTTGAAAAGAATTATATGAATGATAATGACATGGATTTATACAATCTGAATAGATATAATGATTTCTACAGGCTAAATCATATTGATGTGAATTAGATGAAGTTAAAAATTCACTTAAACAATTCTCTTGATATAAACTTGAAGAAATTACAAATGGATGATTTATAGTAGTTGACTGATCAGTGTAAAATTGAGTTAAAGAATTGATCGAAAATGAATTATTCTTGTCATGATTACTATTATTATCATTATTATTATTATTACTACAAGTATGATCATGATTATTGTTACTAATAGTGGCAGTAGTTGCTGTTGTCGTCGTTGTCACAGTCTCAACAGTTGTGATTTTAGTCGTATCAATTGGTTTAATCGACATATTTTCATGTACATTATCTTTCGCTGTCATTAATGAAGAACTGAATACACCTGGAGTTGATGACGATGATGATGATGATGATGTGAATGATGGTGAGAATGAATGAAATTTTTTCAAACAAATTAAACAAAAATTAAATCTGTTTACATTTCTATGCTTTGAATGCCCAGTATCATTAGTATGCGGATTATTAACTAAAGAAGTATTCGTTGTTGATGTCACTGATGTCGTTGTTAATGTTGTTATTCTTGAAGCGCTGATTGATGATTCTGTTTTGATCGGTCGATATGAATTTGACAAGGATAAAGGAGTAGGTTTGATATTCTGTTGAAAATCTAAATTATTATTATTATTATTATTAGTATAACTATTCAATAGTTGTCCCTGATACTCTTGTCCTTGTAGCAGTTGGTGTTGTTGTTTTTGTAATAATACTGATGTTTGTAATCCATTCTGTTTATCCGCACAAATTACATCACCACGTAAACGTTGTAATTCTTGTGCATGTACTGCAGCTTCTAACTGATCACGTTTTTCATCTTCTGTATTCATTGTTAAAAATCGTAAAACTAATAAATTCATCACTGAACTAACTACAGTTAAACCGAATAATATAAATATTAAACTAAATGCTACATAATCTGGACGTTTAGCCAATGAATTATTACGTTGTAATGCAACAAAATCACCAAACCCGATTGTAGTCAATGTAATAAAACAATAATAAAATGAATCTAAATAATCCCAATCTTCATAACGTGAAAATACCATTGCACCAATTGTCAAAACAATTGAACCAATAGTAAAACTAACAATCATTAAATGTGTTTGTGAAATAAAATTGTGTATTTTACACATAAGATTGGATTTTTTCAATAAATATGTTATAATTGTATTCATACGTTCACCGATACTTTGAAACATAATCAAACATAATGGTATGCCAGGCAGGGCATAACACATACAAAATATTTTTCCACCAAATGTTTTCGGTGTACTATGACCATAACCTGCGAAAATAATAAAGAAAATTAAATAATCAAATAAAATATTTTTCAAATCATCATCAAAAAGGAAAAAAAATAAACAGGAAAGTAATCAGTGATAAAAAGATAAAATCAATAAAAATGTGTTGTCTAGTCGAAAAAAAAGAAAATAAACTGTAATTTACTGATTTGGTTGGAATCTGTTAGTCAGTTATTAGGTCATGAACAATGGACAATCTGATATAACTATGCATTATTCTCAGCTACTACCTTTCACATCATCAAAGTCAGAAAAAAAACTAACACTTTTAATAGGGAAGAACTTGAAATAATTAATATAGCTCATGGTAGAAAAGTAAATATGTAGATTATGTAAAGATTTACATTGGTCCTTTATTGATAGTATAGATGAAATCTGATCAATGTCCAACGGTACATGAACTTCTTGAATGAAAGTCGGAAAACTCTCTGTAACTACAAGTTGACAGTGGGAATTCAAGCTGCATTATTGAATATCAAAACTGAAATGTATAGATTCGACTGACGAATCTCAAAAATGACAAAACCTATATCTTGCATTCTTTTACTAATAACTATCAAGAATATAGTCATTATGACTTTTTTGAAAAGAATAGACAATTATTTGCCAGTATAATTGATGTTTTTATGATCTGACCTTCGATCTCCAAATATAGATTGAAATCATCGCAAGGACTTGGACCAGATGGTCTGGACTAAAATTTCCTCTGAGAAGTGCAACAAGCAATTATCGAAGCGTTGGATTTTCACTAAACAGATGGACAATTCGTTTGCCACTTGTGATGAAATAAATCTAAACCAAATACAATAATATCAGACTGATAATCTCTAGTTATTTTCACTTAAATTTGAATTGTGTCTATAAACTTACTTGATATTTAGCCACTGGAAAATTGGTATGACAATGTTTCTCACCGGAGCACTGGATGGCCGTTTCGTTCTGGTATGGGACTCATCAGTGGCAGTGCGCATCCACGACTCCTGCACCCCGCAGGATTCGAACCCGAGACTTTCGGTATTATGCGCGAACGCCTAACCATCGGACCACTCGGCCGGCATCCAACGGTGTTAATGTCTAACTCTGATTGATCTAGGGATTTTGCGCGACTTCACTCATTTGTCTTTGGTAGTTACGGTCGTCAACCGACAGGGTTGAACTCCATTGGTCACGTCTTCTCACTAGAACTCCTCACGAAGATAGTCACTAGTGAACATATGTTACGATATTTTCGTTTAGAGTTTTGGAGATTTGTGTTTTTTACACATCTGAAATCTTCAATCAATCCCGGGTTCAAATCCTGTGAGGTGCAGGAGTCGCGGATGCGCACTGCCACTGATGAGTCCCATACCAGGACGAAACGGCCGTCCAGTGCCTCCTGGTTTCTAATGGTGTTCTAACAATGATTGATTGAAGATTTTAAATGTGTAAAAAAGACACAAATTTCCAAAACTCTAACCGAAAATAGTAAATTTATTTATTTCAATTAGATAGAAATCAATACTGAATTTTGTGTTAAAGTATATTGATAAACCACATATAGATATTCCACAGCAAATAATAATCTGCTAACGAAAGATACCCAGAATAATTCAATTATTTTTCCACTTATTTATTTCCAGGAAATTTTCACTACAAAACGACATCTGTTTCAGGAAGAATCAACTGTTCGGCGGTGTTCACTAATTTTTAACCGGTTAATATTACTTTGAACTTTTTCAAATGATAAGCCGCTCAACTTACCAGGTTTATTTCATTAGTTTAAATTGAAAAAATATGACTTCTATTGACAACTAGTACAATCAAACAACTAAATGAATTAAATGAAAGCTGAAATTGATTTATCATTGATGCCTTTTTTTAGCCCAGTGGGTAGATCACTGATTGTTCAAAGACTCCCTATAGAGATCATCATTATTATTATCATCATCTAGACATTTGAAAATTTCCAATCGGTTTCTGGTGTGATTGTATAGTTTGGAAAAAGTAATTGTTATTTGTAGACTGATACTGCTACCAAATAGTGAAACATCAACGGGAATGTGGATTGCTAACATACTTTCTTTTTAACAAGAATCATACATTTTATCGTTAGCAAATGCATATGTAGGTATACTACCACTCGAGATAGATAGAACGAATAACAAGCATACAAAGATTTATTGGTATTGTAGTTCCGGTCATCAAATGTAGACAAAACAAACAGTTGTAAAGTTTTAATACTTTGCTAACTAGTTAAGCATTAATATTATAAAATTGACTAATGACTAACCAAATGATTCGTTAATTAATATTTACAAGATCAAAATATTTCAGCTAGACAACCTTGAATACAATATCACATGTTTGATTCTCAGCACTCTGCCTCTGAATGGCTTTGACCAATTTAAGCATGCCAATATGTGTTTACTCGACAGGTTATTTTCAACAGAGTTATAAAGGCTATTTTTCCTTCAAACTATTTTTAATTAGGTCCACTAATGAATAACATCAACTGATTAAACAGTGAAGTATTAATACAAAGCTAACCAAAAAGAAAAATAACTTGAAATACGGTGCAGATAACTGCTTATCGATAGATTAGTATTTGTAATGTGATCGCTTTTCTACAGAACCCAAATACCAAGATTTAAAATATCGTAATGTCGAGTAGTTTAGTTTAGTAATCATATTAGATGTATTATATAGTGTCTGTTATACCCATATATCCTTACACGTTTTTCTAGAGGTTGACTTGATTATGAATATCTCAGTCTCAGAGGAAACACGGGATCCAGCGGACAGCTAAGAGACAACTAGATGACTTGGACTTCGCAGGTGACCTAGCTCTTCTATCCTACGCACAACAACAAATACTGGAGGAAGCAGCTAGTGTAGCAGCAGAAGCATTTGAAGTAGTGGATCTCAACATACACAAAGGAAAAAGTACGATCCTCTGATGCAATAAAACACAACATGCGACAGCCAAATCACCTTCGAAGGAGAAGTACTGGATGCTGTGGAAGCTCTCAAATACCTGGGGCAACATCATTGATAAACAAGGTGGATCAGATATAGATGTGAAGACAAGGATTAGCATAGCAAGAGCAACATTTCTACAAGTAGAGAATATCTGAAACCCAAAACAACTATCAATCAACATCAAAGTCAAAATTTTCAATGTAAACGTCAAGACCCTTCTATTGTCTGAAGCGAGAACTTGGAGAACTACGACAGCCATTATCCACAAGACACAAGTGTTTATTTTTCTACACAAAATACTTCTCATAGCTTGGTGAGAATCTATCGGCCACTATCTACTGTGGAGGAGAACAAACCAGATTGCGTTTGAGGAAGAAATTAGAAAGAAGTGCTGGAGGTGGGCAGGACACACATTGTAGAAATCACTCAAATTGGGGTCCTCAAGGCATAGGGAAAAAAGGAAGACTACGGAACGTGTTGCACAGAGAATTGGAGACAGACTTGAAAAGAACGAGCAGCATTCGGGTCGAAATGGAAAGGAATTCCCAGGAAAGAGTAGGTAGGAGAGTGCTGGTCAGCGGCCTATGCTCCACGAGGGGTAACATGCATAAATAAGTATAGTATACATGTCAGGTTATGGGATAAAATGCTGAAAGTTCATCATTTTCAAACCCAACTCGTTATAACAATCTATAAGAAGTATTGAATAATAATACAGATAGCATAATGATTCACAAAATCTTTAAAACATCTGTTTAACAATAAATCATACGTAGCTTGATGAAACAACCAAAAGCAATCTACTCTAGTGTTTTGAAAAAAATAATACTATTTTATCCAATACTACAATTCATAAAAATTGGTCTACCAAAATGTTACAGCTTTAATAAGATAAGAAATAAATTTTTATAAAACCATACATTCTAGATTACACTTTCTAATAAACTGAGTAGATGCTCTATTGTTAGTCATATGGTTGAAAATCAGGACTGAAGTTATCAATCTAAGTTATTATGTAGGCTTGATATAGATGACATTTCAAAAGTTAGTCATATTTTTTGAAGGTGGATAAATGTAAGAACCAGGATACTTGGTTCGACCTTCAGAAAAATCTTCACTGTTTCTCAGATGCATTCAACTGACAAACATCAAACAGTAAAAAATATATGAGTTGTATATTCTACTGCTGAACACTATCTAATTAAATAATCTTAAGATTAATATAATTAAAATATAAGAAAATATCTGATCAGGATGATTTATCGGATATAACTCAGTAGACTACAAGTTTACCAGTAATGAAATTTGAAAAAAAAAACGCAAATTTTCATCTAGATAACTTTTTAAAAGAAAAATTCGTTTAGAAAAGATTGGCAATATACTTAAATATTCAATAATAAGTTTTATTTTCTAACTGATAACATACTATTGTTGTTATGAAAGTATTTATAATAATGATTATCAATCTCTTTTGGATTTGTTTATAAACAATTGACAATTGAACAAATCACTACAAAATCCATCCTAATAGTAAAATTATGCTCATTAGTGGCCAAGTTGAGGACAAAAATATGCATTCCTAATGACACCGAATGGTAATAACACAATACAGGCAAATACTAATCCATTTAGGTGGTCTAAAAGTGACGGTTTCGCCTTAAAACTTGGTTTTAGCAAGTCCGATAGCTAATATGATATTCAGCAAACATTGTTGAGAAGGTACAGACTAGGATTGGACACATATTGGACATTCCTTAGTTTACTATTGCTTTATAGTTGATATTAGTCTATAGCAGAAACTAACTTCTAAATAAAATAATACTATTTCCTATGTTAAATGGTTGTATAGAGTATGTAAAGAATTCTACTTGTCAGTAAGGCATATCATCAATTATGAAAAGATCAATGCTCTACCTGTCTCCTTCTAAATTTATCTTACTGAATTATACTTCTCGAATCTTATCTTCGCTCCCTAATCTTCTCCATTACTGCTAATAGTTCTATTATTGCTATCACTCTTGGATTT